GATAAACGTCAATATCTACACCTTCTGCCGACAAGTTCGGGACCGACTGCGCACACGCTCCACAAACTCCGACCATTTTATCCCACTATTGCCGAGCTTGGCATGCGCATCGACCATGTCCAAATCAAGAACCTCAGCTAGCAACAACTTACACATAGGCCTCTCCTCAACAGAATCACCGTGCACCGCTAGACCGTCAACACGCAACCCCAAAATCAAATGGACATCATGTAGGGTGATCGTCATCTCACCCCAAGGCATGTGAAAACTGTTCGTTTCCGGCTGCCATCTCTCTATAAATGCCCCCATGAGTCCCTTGTCTACATTTTTTATGTAGAAGTACTCGAGTGAGTCTAGGCCAGATGCCTCCAGTAGCTCTAACTCATCCTGCCCGTAAGGAGCCATGAGTTGCTTCAACTCATGTTTCTTAAAATCATTAAGCGCGGTAATCCTTGACTCACATCGCCCGACGCTGCGCTCCTGTAGAATTTCTAATTTAATTAGAAAAAGTATATTAAAATAAATATATTTAAAATATATAAAAATAAATATATTTAAACTTACATGTCCTGCCCAAATGTAATAGGCAATATGACTCTTGAAACTATGAATCATCCTCCAATCAGTCGGTCTTCCTGGAGCCGGACCATGTAACATAAGTGGGCCACTAAAAGTGTCGAACTCGTACCGAGACTTCCGTGCGCGCGCAGCCGGGACGGGAACATCATCAAAATCGCTCCCAACATGGTCCTGCTCCTCCTCGTCCCTCGTAGGGGATACGAGAATCTGCCCCTAAAGATCGAATGCTACCCGCTATAGATCTAGAACTATGATCTATGTGGGGAATCTCGTCCACGACGGGTAAATCAATGTCGCGCTCCATAACTCTCCTACGACGGTGAGATGCAGCCATACGAATGCGCTCCGCTTCCGCCGCGGCTTCCCCGCCATACCGAAATTTAATCTTCGGAACTTTATCCGAACTCGAAGAAGCACCCATAAGCCCTTTCCCCTTGTCCTGACGTGCCATCTGTAAAAGATAAAAAAACTAATTAAATAAAATAATATCAAAAAAAAAAAAATGAGTTTCCCGTTCTGCAGAACACGGGAACTCGAAGAATCTCCAGTTTCCCGTGTCCTGCAGACCGGGACTCTCAACATTTTTGAAGGCTCCGT